ATAGACAATGACAACAGTTGGTTATGGTGATATATATCCAAAATCTATGTGGGGTAAATTAATTGGTTCAGTTTGTTGTGTTTGTGGCGTACTTGTTATTGCATTACCAATACCAATTATTGTTAATAATTTTGCCGAATATTATAAAGAACAATTACGTCGTGAAAAAGCCTTGAAACGTAAAGAAGCTATTGATCGTGCAAAAAAAAATGGTTCGATAATGTCAATTCAGTCACATTTTATATCATCAAATACAAATTTATCTCCTGTTGATCTTAATGCACGCCATACAAGTGCTATGAAATATATGTCAAGTCTTGTACATGCAAGTGATGAACCGTTACATGATTCAGCATGTTATGAAAAGAAAACATTATTATCACCATCGAAACAAACTTCGCATATAGTTGATGTTTTTCTTGATAATAATGAAAATATAAAACTACAAGATGAAGATGCTAAAGAAGCTTTACTTAATAAACAAGATATTCCAATGGATTATGAACGTAAAACGACGATATCTGACAGTTAAAAAAATAAATAAAAGCTCAATATTTGTTTCCTTACTGCTAAATATTGTACATTGATGGAAAATGGTTTTCTTTTTCTTTTTTTATTTTGAATGTGTTGTATCTTATGTTGAATATTTATTGTGTGTTGAAGAAGATGTTATTTTTTTTTGAATTATCCGGTTTTTTGTGGATAAAATTTCAATTAATTTTCCATTAAAAAAAAAAACTTTTTTTATTCTTGTTTTCTAATACTTCAAATGGAGATTTTCGATAGAATTGGATCTTATGGTGATTTACCAAGAGAATAAATAATAGCTATGATGTTTTCTTTCGAATACAAACAATTCATAGCTGTCCAAATCAAACAACTCGTGTGATCTTAAAGTCAAATTCTATACAATTCATGCACGATCTTCCAAGGTTTTCTACGACGTTGCATATCTGATTTTATTCTATTTTGAGCTTCTTTCAGGCTGCTTTCTTCAGAAATAAATAGGAGTAAAAAATTGTTCTTTTATTAAAATAGATTTTTGAAATGATCTAACTAAACTAAACCAAACAATCTAAAAAAAAAACTAACAAGTGTATTGAATTAGTTGTTAAAAAGCTCTAAAATAAAAGATTAAGTAATTTAAATTAAAAAAACATTGCTTTCATCGAGTTCATCGTTAAAATGAAGTGAAATTAAAAAAAATTAATTAAACGATTATATGTAGTATCTTGAATAGAAATATGCGTAACCGGGACCGGGACCAGAAAAAGATTTGGGTCCGCACATATCTCTCGCACAATGGGTAACTTCAATGAAGCAAACAAACATATAACTTTTGTGTTATGAAATGGATTTCCATTACTAAGAGGTGTTTATATATCATTCTGGAAATCAACTTTACGATAATAACGCATCTTTTGAATAAAAATATTTTCAGTGTGAAACACGTGACGAGGATCCTTGTCCACATTTTCGAGAAAATATTTTTGGTAGTAAATGTTTTATGTCCTATATCGTTCGACGTAGTTTTGCGTGTTGATTTCGAATATCACATTCATTTTGTGCAACAATGCTGTCGTAATCGGACAAATAGGAATTTCGGAACGAAAACCTAGGTTTCGGGGTAATATGCCTAGCATCGGCTGCGCTCATATGCGCGAGATAACACTTTGACTAACACTGGAACACACATAGACGAATAGATAGTAAACGCTTACGATCAATCAGATGGAAACTCTTTGTAGCGTTGGAAAAATACGATACGACTCACTTTTTTAAGCTTTTCCTTCATAACAGTCAAAACTTTAAAAAAAAACCGTTTTTATTATATGTCATTAGATGCTGCTCGGTGAGATGATTCCAAATATCACCTTATTTTCTTGCTAAAATATTTCTGTATTCACAAAACCAACGATTCCTGGACAGAAAGCTAGTTCTCTAGGAAATCCACAGCTCTGTTTCTGTTCACTAGTACGAGACGGTGCTATGCCGAATGATAAATCACATGTAGAAGAAAAATTGGTCAAAGTTTGAGCTCAATCAAATTAGATGTCTTTGAAAGGTACACAAAATACGATATGACAGATTTTTTGACCTACTTTCGGCTCAGTAATCGCTTGTTTTCCTATTGTATTTCTGGTTGGATCGAAATAATTTTTCCACACAATGAAGCTTATGGGCTAATCATTCGTTTGAGATAGTTTTTCATTTTGAAATATGTTGATAATTCGATAACAGAAATGATCTTCTTACAATTAGCGATTTCTGAACAAAGTTTTTGATGCGATGGTCTTTCTCAGAGTTCAACTGGATTTTTGAAACTTTAGGTTTAGGGTAATATAGACTAATCATAGACGCATTCATTCCAATATTTAAACTTTGGAAAAAAGAACTTGAGGTCATGTTCGTCTGGTTGCCCACTATGTGTCGTCGACTAGAAAAATAAAGAATACGAGTATTGAAGAATTATTCCAAATGCAAGACCAGTAGATTCTGCAACAGCTTTTCTAAATCCAGGCAAGTAACAAAAAAAACTAAAGTAACTAAGACTGGAACCAGGATTAAAAGAAAACTTTACCGGGACCGGGGTCAAAACAAGTTGGTCTCGCACATCTCTAACCTTGAAATAAAGGATTGCATCTCATATTATTATTAACGGTTTGTATTCACTGATTATATGATGATATTGATGCATATTATGCATTTGAGGTTTATGTTAATAAAAGAGAAATTTGTTGTTTTTTTTTTCTTGGATCTGGTAATTGTTATTAAGTTGAAAATGGTCGCATACGGCCGAAAATTCTCGAATAAAGGTTTAACTGTATTTCATACAAAAAAAATAACGATTTAAACAAACCTACTTAGATTTTATCGAATTCATCATATTTTTCTATGTAGTTATTTTTTTAGAAGATTAGCACCACTACATAGAAAATATATTTTCAATTGTAAAAAAGTAGCTTCTAGATTAGAATGTATGTGATCGCTTAGATATTCATTTTAATGCCCAAAACTATCGTTATAAAAACAATTTGTATAAGTGAGACGTAAAATTATAAGATTCACAGTAGCATCTTGTAGTCAGATAGATATTAAATCTTATAGTATGAATTTTACGACATCCAGTTTTCAGCAAGATCGTATAGAATCTCCGTAAGATTTTTCCATATGGGTGATTGACTATTGATCATCTGGTATCGATTGGTCTGTATATCTTAATTCATACGACAGTAAAGCTGATTTTAATCAACGAAGAATTATAAATAATATGATATTAACAATACTATGAAATCAGTCAAATCAATCTTAAATAACAAACTTTATTCCAAATATAGTGTTAACATAAATTGATAGCTTTTAAGATCATGTTAATGCAAGATCTACATTTCTGTTTCATATTACAATGCTATATTTTCGTTTAGTTGTTGTTTAGTAGATCATTATTTTTCATTGTTTTGAATTTAACACAAGATGATAGTCGTTTTTTTCTCAAGGTTGAAAATGATCCAATAAGGTCGAAGATTCCACTCAGTTATATATACAAAAATAAAATTTATTTTCACACACACCTATCACATGTTGTGTGTATTCTTAAAACGAGTATTTGTGATAGAAAATAAACATAAACGAGAAATTGTAGTGTGTCTTAAGACTTGGATTTTAATCTTATATAAAATTATTCATGAAGAAAAAACCTCACGAAGATCGTATAAGATCTAAATGATAATCGAATGTTGTAAAATTCATACTGTGTATGATCTACCGAAATCGTACAAATATCTTGCTACAAGATGCTACTGTGAACATTACATGATTCTTACAAAGTCTGATGGTCGGAATATTGTTAGATCTCATTTATACGAATAGTGTTGATAACCATAGTTTTGTGTATTTAAATAAATATTTAAATGATTAAATATGTTCTACTTTAGACGTAATTTTTTTAGAATTGAAAATATATCTTCTATGAAGTCGTGCTGATCTGGTAAAAATCATTCCATAGATAATTTAATTAACTTGAATCAATAGAAATCGAGTTTCTTTTGTTTAAATTATTTCTTTTTTTAAATTTTAGATCATTTGAAAGATTAAATTCAATTAAAAGAATCTTTTAAAGAATCTTATTATAAGATATAGTGTAAGGTTTCTGAAAGGATGATTCTTTACAGAATGCTCATAAGGTTTCGTCTGATCCATGAGAGTTTTATGTCTGATTTTTTGACAGAGGAACTTTCCCTAATTTTAATACTATTTTAATACATTCATCAAAATGTTTGCAAGATATATAAAAACATTTGAAGACAAGTTGAAACATATTCTTTACATCCCGTTATTATTCTTATGCAATAATGAACAGTATATTAATAAATTTAACTTTTTTCAATTATCAATAATCGTCAAATAGTCTTTAGAAGGCTTTCAATCAATTATTCACGCCAGTTTATTTTCCTATTATGTGTACAAACCTCATCATTTAGCTGTTAGACAAGTTTCTTACATATTGCAGTCGTTTGTGCAGTTTTTTGGCTATTTTGAATACAATTGATTGTAGAAATTCATGCAAATTAATATAGAAATTAATCGAAGTTCATTCTCGCTTGATATTGAAATTCATTTTTAGCTAGCAGTTCTGGTAACTGCATTTCACGAAATGTCTCAAATACTTTTCAAATTTTGTTTGGCAATAAACCATTATAGGTTATCAAGTTTTGGCACATGTGAACGAGTACAATTCTACTTATATTTTCGATTAGTACACACCTGATTTGGTAAGATTACAATATTGAAATCAACTAAAAAAAAATACAACGACTGCTATCAGTAGGATTGAGTCTTTTTTTTTTGTTCCTTGTCCAGATCATCTAGCAATTCATTGTCATTGAGAATTAGACATCAGACATATTTTACGGTTATTTTTACTATATATTCTACTTATCAAACACAAAGTATGTTGAAAAAGAGAAAAAGAAAAAATATTGTCCAGTATACAGACATTCTCAAACATTGCTCGTATGACGTCCAGTAGGTAGTTCACAAGTTTTATTTAAACGATCAATTATTTGTCCAGCTACAATGTCGTCTGTGTTTCGTGCAACTATGTCAAATATTAGAAATCCATCCGAGCCTAAATAATCTGTAAGATCTTCAGCTCTTTCCGTTCGACCATGTCCTCGATATACTGACATTGCTGTTGAGAGTAATAAGCTTTCTTTTTCTTCCGATACTGTGCTACTCAGTTTCAAATATTTTTTAATTGTTGCTAATCGACGTCTTCTTCCTAATGATATTATCCAAACAACCATTGATAAAAGATTCAATATTGTTAAAACTATTAACCATATCCAAATACCAAGAAATATCTTTTCATTATATAAATTAATTGGTAAATTACATTGAATTGCATACCAATGTTGATTTGAACCTAAATGCCGTATCATAAAATCACACATAGTGACACGAGGAAATCTTGGTGATTCAAACAAATCATCACTACTGAACAATTTATTAATTGCTTCAGGACCATAACTAGTAAAATGAAATGATAGGAATGAATTGAGTAGAAAGAATTGGCAAAGTGTGTTGATAATATAAAGTATTTTAATACTAAAATATGTTAATGTATAACTAAAATAAAAATTAGGCACACGGATACCACAACATATTGTTCCATGTAATGTATTTTGTGTATCAATATATGATTTTAATGTACGGTGTGTTAATTCCACACCTTTCTCAGGATCTAGTGGATCTTTAATAGATTTTACAAGTCGTTGAATATTGACTCCACCTCCTCGTGTAAATGCATACCATAAATATCGAGGCAAAAGAAACAATAAAGCCATACCAAGTAGAATAAATGGTGTCCATTGATAATAAGAACTAGAAATAGATCTTAAATTCAGTGACAAATGATTTTTATTAAGAAGGTATCTTACACATGGTAAAGTCTAGGTTTTGATCGATCAGGAATTGTAACTAAAATAAAAACAAATATAATATTTAAAACAATATTTAATTACCTTGATTTAAAGAATTCGTGTGATTTCTCTTAGGTTTTTTTTGTATTGTGATAACAAGTTACGTAGCTTTTTCATAAGTATTATGAATTTCAAGTATCTAATTAAGGTGTTCAGTACATTTCTTTTGCATATGATTGAGAACTATGAAACACTTCACTACTGATTTTAATGATGAAAATGGCTAGCTTTATATAGAATTACTTCGTTGTAAGTGCTTTTGTTTACTTAGATTCAGATCAACCTTTTATGCTTATGTGAACTCATTACTTTTTTTTTAGATTGTTTTTTCCTGATGAACAAAGCGTTATATCAATTTAGCAACTTGATAGATGATCTTTTGTAGATCATGCATGACAATTATAAATATAACATACTTTCTTCTGTTGGTAGATAATAGGATCCTTTTAACCAACAAATACTATTTGTATAAGAATTATGTGTTCCACTAAACTGAGCTATAGTAAAAAATACAAAAAGTAATATTGAAAGAAACTTCTTCTTTTTTTTTGAAAACCTACCTGGTGTCCAACAATTGATTGGGTCTCCTACGTGAACCTTTCCTGTAATTATAAAAATACACATTACTAATGCCATAACTGTATATCGACTATTAAGACGGTCGATAAGATCATCATCTTCTAAATGATTAAGTTTTCGACCATAACGATCTTCCGAAATAATAATTTTGTCCATAATAAAGGAAATATTCAATAGATAATAATCTTCAGTAGCCTTGCTTGAATAAGTTTACTTGAATAGAAGTACTTTTTACTATTTCATTTCTTTTTCATCATCATGATGTTCTTTATTTTAACATTTTTTGTGTTTATTTCTCTGTCTCCCTCTCTCTGTCTCTCTCAGCCATATTCTCTTGCTTTCGTTTGTCCATGAGCAAGTGAAGAACAAAGTACACAAAACTTAAAATTTTGTGGTTAGTTTCATCTACTTTGCGGTTTCGTTTTTTTGGCTACCAATGACACATACACTTTCTCACATTCTTTTCTTGCTGTTCTTGTGCATATCCGTATAGAAGCAACACAGTGCTAAATGAAGTGTGAGGTATGTTTGGCTGTGTGAAATCAGTAACGATCGAAAAAAAAAGAACAATATTGGATTTGAAGGTAAGTATGTGAATAAATGGCGCGTCTTTTTGCAAGCTTCTATATTTTCTTTTTCTTCGATTCTCTTTGCCATGATTTCATACATTTTTCAATAAAAATAATCTATCTAAAAATAAATTCAATTCGTTCTCATCGAGCATTGCGTGGTTACTTGTTTATGGTCCTTGTCAATGCTATTGGAATACATAGAAAAGACCAATCATATTAGATGAAAGTCTTCTAAAAATAATGAATTATATGTTGATGTAATGCAAGAAAAAAGGAATTTGAGTGTGTAATGATGTTCGATCGATTGTTCAGTCGCGTTTTTTTTATTGAAATGGATTTTATTTAGTTTTTACAAGAACGTTTCAGTTAGATCAGTAAAATGGACTGTCGATAATGTTGTTGGTATAGTTTTTCTTAATATACAGTTTTAGTATTCATTTCATGATATTGAACTATCATAATTATTGTAATGGTACTATGTCTTTGATAATTTATAAGAAAAAAAAAAGAAAGTTTCAAAAATAATATTCAATTGATTAATGTTAATCATCTCATTAAATTTCGCAGAAGGATTAAGAAGACTTGTCAGTAAACTATACTCGTGGTTGATATTGATATAGAATATAAAAATGAAAGAAAGTAAATTTTAGCTATGTGCAATAATGTCTAGAACCAAGAAGTCATATCATTAAAGTATGTATAACTAATAAAGAAAGAAACCATTATAAATCGTTTACTTTATTACTTATAATAACATGAAATTTGGTCAAACTAGATGAAAGTTAGTCAATATCAAATGTTTGAATAAGAAATGTCAAAATGATATAAAGCAAATAATATTGTTAGTTCTTTTTATGCCGTTAGAAAAATATTTCTGAAATAAAAGTGTTTTTTTTTTAAATTATTCTATGAAATCTACTGTAATACATTATGAAGAAAATTTCGAATTGAATTTGATTTTATTCCTTTATTTAAGACTATACATATTGAGATCTACTACTGTATGACTTCCTTGTTATTGCTGTCAGAATGTAATATATAAAAGAAAATTATACTCGCAATAATGATATTAATACTTGAAATATTTTAATAATCAAATCAAACTTTTTCATGTTTTTTTATGTTAATAATATTATACTATGCAATTGTAGCATATAAATTACCATATCAATGTTTATTCATTCTCTTTATATTATGTTCGAACTTAAAAAAGTTAAGACAATGCTAGATTTTAAGCGAAACATTGATGGACTATTCTATCTGTTTGATGTTTCCTTACACTTACTGAAAATTTCAACTATAATGAAAAAGAAAGAGAGGAAAACTATAGAATGTGAAAAGCAGATTAAAAACATGAACTAGTCATCCAAGGTTGCTACAATGAAATGACTAAGATGTGGCTGCGCGATTTATCTTTACCAACGTCCTTTTTCCTTTCTTTTCAATTCCATATTTTCTCATTGTTACTTTTTCCATTAATGGAAATTTTATCTTGTAATAATAATGACTAACGAGAGATCTTATTAGGTAAATATTAATTATTTTCAAGCGAACTATCATTAAATTTGACAAAGCTGCCGTTTCGTATTGAAGAAGATTTTTCGAATAGTTTTTATTTTACCATTTTATTGTTTATTAATTTTGTTCTTGAGAAAAAAAAACTTCATCTTCAATTACACTATATATTCTACTAATGGAATATAAAAATAAAAGAAAGCAAAAACTACAATAACTAAATCTAATAAATGCATAAAAAGTTTTCAAACATTGCTCATAAAATCCGGAGTAGGTGGTTCATAAGCTTTATACAAATAATCAATTATTTTTCCAGCAACAATATCATCTGTATTACGTGCAATTATATAAAATATTAGAAATCCATCCAAACGCAAATAATCTATAAATTCATCAAATTTGTTACTTCGATATCGTGGCATTGTTGTTGATGATGAAAAGTTGTTTTGTTTTTCTGATGATATCTTATTCATTCTTAAATATTTTCTAATTGTTGCTAATCGTTGACTTCTTGTCAATAATATTATCCAAGGAAAGATTGATAAAAAATTTAATATTGTTAAAATTATTAACCATAGCCAAATACCAAGAAATATCTTTTCATTAAACATATTAATTGGCAAATTACATTGTATGGCATACCAATGTTGATTTGAACCTAAACGTCGTACCATGAAATCACACATAGTAACACGAGGAAATCTTGGTGATTCAAACCAATCACCGTCACTCAATAATTTATGTACTCCTTCAGGACCAAAGCTAGTAAAATTAAACGATAAAAATGCATTTAATAAGAAAAATTGAGTCAGAGTATTGACAACATAAAGAATCTTTACTAAAAAATACATTAATGTATATCCAACATAAAAATTAGAGCAGCGACAACCACAGCATATTTCTCCTCCTCCCATATTTTGTGCATCGAGATAGGATTTTATTGATTTTTGTACTGATTCCACACCTTTGTCAGCATCTGGTTGCTCTTTAATAGTTTTTATAAGTCGTTGAATATTGAGACCCCCTTGTCTCGTGAATGTATGCCATATGTATCGAGGTAAAAGAAAGAACATAGCCATAAAAAGTAGAATAAATGCTGTCCATTGATAATAGGAACTAAAAAAATGTCATCTTATTAGAACTAAAGAATATATTCTCAGAAATAATGCTTACACAAAGTAAGTTCGAGGTTTCGATCGATCAGGTATAATAACTAGAATATATTAAAAGAGATATTATTGAATATTATATACATCTCTGTTCACAGTGAAATCGTTTATTTTGTCAACAGTCTAGAATTTCTTTCTAATCTATGAGGTTGTTTTTTTTATCGATTTTTTCTTTAATTAAAACCTTTCATGTAGTCATTTTTAAGAGTCGATAAAACTGTCCGTAGTTCTGAGACATGCTTCAATGACAAAAACGTACTTTCTTCTGTTGGAAGATAATAAGACCCTTTCAGCCAACAAATACTGTTCGCATAACCGTCATGTTGCCCTTTGAATTCAGCTAAATTGAGTGATTAAAAAAAGTCAATGAGAAATGTTTGGTTTGTTTTTTGTATAAACTAAACATGCCTGGTGTCCAACAATTAATTGGTTTACCGACTAAAACACCTCCCGTAATGATAAAAATACACATAATTAATCCCAAAACTGTAATTCTATTATTTAAACGATCAATAAGATCGTCATCTTCAAGATGACTTGTCTTTGGTCCATAACGATCATCAGATATGAGAATTTTCTCCATAGAAATGAATTGTTTGATGATAAACTATGCTTGATATATATTGGTACGAATGTTTATCAATGAGCAAAAGTAATATTATTTTTTCGTGTTTATGAATCTTGTCTTTTTGTGTGTACGTCGAGTTCTTTTTCTTTCCTTCGTTCGTTTGCATTTCATGTATCCATGAGAGATTGAAATGTAAAATGCATAAACAGAATTTTTTTGCGGTTTTTGTGTCGACTGTTCTATTTCCTTTTTTAGCTGCTATTGACACACTTGCTCATACTCTCTTATGCAAACACAGACCAGTTACGTTGTTTAATAAAGTGTTAAATGTGATGGTAGCGAAAAGGCATTAATATATAAGAAAGGAAAAAGAACATATGAAGATTTCTAATGAATATGCCAACAAGTTCTATATATTGTTCATTGTTTTTTTTATTCTCAGTCGATATGGTTACATCTCTTTGCCAGTAATAATAAAAAAGCCTGTCAAGTGATCTATTATTCTTTTTTAAAATGAATGAAAAAAAGGTTTCTTTTCTGAACTTGAAAATTTTTACAGCGGAATTTTTTTTTTTATATTATTAATGTCAGTAAAAGATTCGCTCAGTATTATTCATTGAAAAGCCGATTTCGATCATGATTTTTTACCTTAATTTAAAAGGCTACAACGAAACTGATTGATAATTAACATATTTATTTGTAATCTAACAATATCTGATATCTCCATGTTCTCATGAATAGTTGTGCTTCACTACATGGAAATCGAATCCATAAAAAAAAGATTTGAATCAAAAAGATTCAACAATTATTAATGAACTTTATTTCTTGTACTAAGAGAAAAAAACAATGCATTAGATATATAACTGTTTTTCTTTTATGAAAAAAAGAAATCGTTTCTATTTTTTAAATTGACGAAGTATCAACACGTTCATAATGGCCATTCGAGCATCTTTCATCATCATTATCGTCATCATTGTTTTCTTTTTCAATTGAATTCAAATAAATTTTAAAAAGTGCACCAACAAGTTTAGCCATGATAATATCATTTGTATTATGAGCAATAATTCGAAGTACAAGTATACCATCATATTTCAAATATTTTTCAATAAAACCATCTTGTTGTTCTTTTTTTGATTTGAATAAATTTATATGAAGATATTTATAAATAAATGTACAACCAATATTTGTATAAATAAGAATAAAACATAAAATAAGTGATATACATGTAAGACTACTAAGCAACATAAACCATGCCCAAATAATTAAAAACATAAGTTCATTAAATAAATTTATCGGTAAATTACATTGAACTGCCCTAAAATTCAATGTATCAAGTAAGAAACAAGATAAACAATATTAACTTACATCCAATGATGATTAGAACCAAGGTGCCGTACCATAAAATCACACATTACAACACGAGGAAACCATTTTGATTCATTATTTGCTGTCGTATGAATTTTTCTTAACATAATTGATAACCATTCAGTACCAAATGTATGAAAAGGAAATGATAAAATAGTACTTAGGAAATAAAACTGACATAAACAATTAATCATATAAAGAAATTTAACAAATATATATAATGAACTCAAATGAGTGTCTGAAATAATGCAAGAACAAAAAAAAAAATTTTTTTTTAATATAAAAATCAATAATTATTTTATTTTACGATATCGACGTGAACATTGAAATATTTCCAATAAACGATTAAGATTTTTATAACGATCAACAACATGTTTCGATGAATTATATTCAAGTGCTATATGAATTTGTACTGCTACTTGATCAATATCTGTTTTCGAAACTTGTTTTATATTTTGAATTATTGAACGAAGATCAAAACCGATACGTCGACTGATATTACGCCTAGACAAGCAATATCATCAGTAAAATTCCATTATAATTTTTCTTTTTACACTATTATAAAAAAAATATATCTCACCAAAACATATGCGGCAAATAGAAAATCAATGCCATTACAAGTAATATATAAGGAACAAATTGATAATAAGCAATACGAAATTCAGAATTTTGTGTACGATGTGGAATTAATTGTCGATCGATTTCAAGATAATATGTACCTTTAAGCCAACATATACTATTCGTATAAGCTACTTGAGGTCCAGAAAACTGTGCTGGAGTCCAACATGAAATTGGTTCTCTACAGAATATATATGCATATTTTAGTCATTAATCAATCTTATTGCAAAAACAAAAATTTTCATATCTACCCAACAAATTGTTTAGCACTAACAAATGCAGTAAATGTAACAAGAAGAACAACAGTAAAACGACGATTAAATCTATCAATGATATCATCATCAACTTTATGTGATTGTCCAACTTGTTGAAGAGCATTTTTAAACAACGATGCCATGATTATTGTAAAATATGAAATAATTTTTTTTTCTCAAAGACTTGTCAGACATGATAATGATATACACCCAGAGCAAGGAGAAAGAGAACAAAGTTAATACGTGACTGTATTGTAAATGTGAAAGTATGTTTGCATTGAATAAAGGAAAAAAAAAGTACTAAATAAGTTAGGTTTGATTTAATTTCATATGATCTTTTTTTTTTTCGTTTTGTCTGATTGCATATGTGACAATTGAATTGATAGCATGTCGAAAGAACCATGAACGAAGAAAGTAAAAGAATATATATGTTAATGTCATCGATATAATCTCAAGTGAATTTATTATCTTTTTCCATGTGTGACAAGAATGTTTCTTTTTGATTAAAAAAAAAAATTTTTTCTACTATAATGAAACCATTATCAATGACACATTGGTATTCAAAAGAAAAACAGAAACAAATACAATATCTCATATGACACATATACACTTGCTTCATTTTCCAGAAACTGTATTTCTAAATAATGTGAGTAATATGCAAGTAAAAAATGTCCTAGATCTCTGCCTTTTCTTAGTATTAATTATTCTAATCTTAAAAGAAAAAAAGATAGTTTATTTATTTAGCACGTCTACTCGGAAATGCTATACCCATTATGCTTCTCATAAATTGAAGCTAAAAAAAAGTGCGCTAAATTATTTTATATCACGACATCAACTCAAAATTCTTATTTCATAATTCAAATAACTATTTCTATAAAAAAAAGGACGAGTTAAGTAATCGTAAAATAAATGTTTAATATACATCCTATTTTTCTCAAAGATATATTTTTAAAAAATTCCCATGATACACATATGTATATGATTCAATGGAACGCTATTATTCTAATCTAGACATCATCATTTTCTGTTTTGGTGAATGTGGGCAACACACACATTTGTTAAGTCAATTAATATGTTCGAGAAGACGCCGAGATGACAAGTTTCCTTTTTAGATCATTACTTGAACAGAACGAGAATGAACTAAACAAAGACTTCTGTGATGATAGAATAATTCATCATGATAAATAGAGAAAACGAAGTAGGAGAGAGAGAGAGAGGAAAAAAAAAGAAGCTAGTTCATTTAATTGTTCTCTAGTGGATAGATGTATGAAAACTTTGATTTGAATATGTGCCTCATTGAATGAGTATATGTAAAAGACGAGAGAGAAAGAGAAAAAAAAACGAGAGAAGGAGACAAACATCAGTAAAGTCTCTAGTGTATTTCGAAAATAGATAAAAGAGAGAGAAGAATGTGCCTTGAATAATTGAGCGTGCAACTATCGAACGAAAGACGTACATATTCAATTCATTACTTACAATGACAAAATATTTTCAACGGCCGTATCACAGGTGAATTGTTTTTATTTTTGTTGTAACATATAAAATAAATTTCACATAACTCTGGTATTGACGAAAAGAGGCGATAATTTCCTTCTGCATAGAATTTATTAAAATTCATTTAAAAAAATTAAATCGAACGACTTAGGAACTATTTGGATAGTATGATATTTTATTTTAGTACGGTCTGTTTTATAAAACAGTTGGAAAATAAATTAGTGTTCCAATTCTTTCTAAATCGAATTACTACTGATTGAATTAATATGGTTCTTTCGATTTATGACAATAATCTTATTTATTAAGATGAAGCGTTGATTATTTTTATTTGACAGAAATAAATCTTAGCTTCAAAATAAATAAAATAAATAAGTTTACATTATAATTAAAAGATTTAATAAAATTCTTGTTTGTTTTTCATTGTATAAGATCAACTAAAGTGTTTTAATCTTTAAGATTAATCAACGTTATTTTTCTATCAATGATACAAAATCTTCATAAAAAGAATTTACTTAATGATTGTCTAATTTGATTTTTTATCAATCGAGTTAAATAGCTCTTCATTTGCATTCTACTATATAGACTAATGATATAATGCGGAAGCTTTCGTAAGAGGAAAATGTTTTAAGTATATTGTGAATGATAGTTTCGTTTTAATAGAAAAGTAAAAATAGAAGAAAAAAAACAATTCATGTTTTGAATATAAACGAATTTATTTCATGCGTGTTGTATTGTCATAAATCATTTGAAGGTCATAGACACAAATGACGTCAGATTATTCTGTATCTTATCAAGGTCTGATGAATAACATACGAGACAGGTTATACAAAAATTTAGTTCTTAATAAATTTTAATTTCTACTAGACCTGATGTTTATACAATTCTTCGTTATTATACTGGTTTTGGACGATATGATGATGATTTTGTTGATCGTTTATCACGTCATTATTCTGTACTAATTTTTTCCATATTTATTCTTATTGTTTCATCTGTTCAATTTGTTGGTAAACCTATATCATGTTTTACTCCAGCATCATTTACGGGTGCACATATAACATATACAGATTATGTTTGTTGGATATCTGATACATATTTTATTTCATTTGATAAAGATATTCCTGAAGCAAATGATTTTGAACTGCGACAAGGTTCACATGTTATACGTTTTTATCAATATGTTCCATTTATATTAATGTTACAAACATTTGGATTTTTTTTACCAGGATTTTTTTGGCGTCGTGGATCATCACATTTAGGATTATCATTACAAAAATATTTAGATCAACTTCATATGAGTCGTCATTTATTATTAGAATCACCATCATATCGTCGAGAATTAATACGAAATGTTGCTATTCGTCTTGATCAATATTTTCGTATGCGTCCAAGAACAATGTTACCAAAATTAACAATATTTTATTTATTTATTAAATTAACTTATTTAATAAATATTCTTATACAATTAATATGTTTACATTATTTTATGAATTTTAATTTTGATATTAAAGATCTAGTTGATCGTTTTATTATCTATAGTAATACAGTACGTCATACATCATTACAATTTCCAACAAATGTTTTATGTGATTTTATTGTACGTTTTCTTGGAAAAAATAAACATCGACATACAGTTCAATGTGTTTTACCAATAAATATATTTAATGAAAAAATTTTTATTTTTTCTTATTTATGGTTAATTTTATTATTCATATGTACAATATATAATTTAATTGTACAATGGATTATTTTCTTTTTATTTCATCGAGATATAATTGATACACGTAGTTGTCGTGTACATCATACATTATCAAAATTTACATTAGAACAAACGCAAAATAATGAAATCATACAAATAAATGATTATCAGCCTGTAACAAAAAATTTTAGTCAACATTATTTACAATGTGATGGAATTGTTATAATACGTTTATTAGATATGAATACTGATCTTGTTACAATGAATGATTTAATGGATGATTTATGGGAGTTTTATAACGGTGATCCATTTTAAGTGTTATATTAAGTTTCATAAGAAGATTGTTTTTTAATGTTTATTCTTTCATGAATATCTTCTTCAAGGATAAGAGTATTCTGGATTGAAGGTCAAAAGAAAAAAATGAATCGATCTATATGTACTAGGGTTTTTGTCGTAGTGTTTTATACGATAAAGTCATTTTTATTTGTTTTTGATAGATTTTTTTTCTTTGAAAATTCATATTTTTATTATGTGTAACAATGGAAAACTCAATTTAATATTTGTTGAATGAATTGATTTAAATACTTGTCGTATGAAAAATAAGAAATACATTGAAATTATCAATATTATCTTTTCTAAAATATTCATAGGTTGTGCACCAGCAACGCAATAGGATGCGATTGCTTCCTTCAAAAACAATTAGCGGATGCAATAAGAGTTTATTGCTTCCCCTGATATTTCCCTATTCCGATGGTTAATGTGGAAAGACTTATAAGACAGTGCTAGAAGTTTTTTTTTTGTTCTATCTGCATGGCTATACTATTGTCACATATGTTTTTATTAAAGAAGTTGCCAGTCGATTAATTAATGTCATGTGACTGGAGAAACACAAAGATCATTCTTCTTTTCCTTTGTTATCTACGACAGAAAAAAAATGCCTATCAGTCTTTGTTTTTTATGTTCTTTTACAATTTTCTAATTAATGTCTAATTTATTAGCTGAATGTCTGAAAAAAAGTAAAAGTTTTTATTATTTCACAAAAGAAAAACAGAAACTCAATTATAACGAAAAATGTAACACTACACCTATGAATACAGCTGATGTGAATACAAATGAAGTCATTATATCAGATGAAACCGATGATGCAATGTCAGTGCCATCATCTTGAGGTTGTGGCTATAAGTGTTAATATTCTCTGCACACATCCACACTCTCAATAATCAATGAGTTTTCAAGTAAATGAAACCATTTTATGAAAGAATAACTTATTTTTTCACAATTGCTTCTTAGTGAAAGAATCTTATAAATGTCTTATGCTTCAGTACATTAAACCAATATAACTGAGTAAATCTGAACTTGAATCAACTGAGACTTTGATTGTTTCCTCGCAGCTTAGAGGCAGACACTGGAGGTATGCACTTCTAAGTGTTTTTTATCATGATAGTTTGAATAGTCTTTCAGTTCTTAATCGATATATAACCATAGGGTTTATTTTACGCATCACATCAACGGCTATAAAATTGTATAGATTCTATTTTGATCCATATGTCCTCTAAAGGCAAGGCAAAAAGTGCATAAACAATTTTGTAGCTTTTATAAAATAAGAATACAAATACAAAGTATATTTTAGTTTTTCTTGAGAGGACATGTTGATTAAAAAAAAAGCATACCACTTTTTAGCCGCTGGTGTGATAGGTAAAAAAATCTGATGGTTCCAAATCTATCAAGAACTGAAAAAATATTCAGGCTTTCAAAGAAAACACTTAATCGTGCCATTTCTGCCTGAATGGCCATTTCCTACACATCTTATGACATGATTTAAAAAGTATTCATATCTATCACAATTACTGCTTGCGTCGAACTTTTCCTATCGATGTCTAACTATATATTTAATTTGAAAACATTACACTCTATTTATCTAGAATAAAGTCTCATTGATACAAATGAGAGAGT